CAATAGCGACCAACCTTGGTCGCTATTTAACCCAGATTTCTCAAAAGCGACCAACTTTGGTCGCTATTCTATTTTAAAAAAATAATTTCTGGAAATATAGCGACCAAAGTTGGTCGCTTATAATTAAAAAAAAAATTATTTCTTGAAGTTAGTGACCAACTATGGTCGCTTATTTTTAAAAAAAAATAAAAAAATTAATAAAAAAGCGACCAATCTTGGTCTCTATTATTCAGATTTTAAAATATAATATTTGGATTAGAGACCAAAGTTGGTCGGATTTTTATGATTAATAATAAATAAATAAATAACATATTTTACATTTAGAGACCAACTTTGGTCGCCAAAATTATATTATTAAAATAATAAAGCGACCAATATTTGGTCCATTTACCTTAGAGACCAAAGTTGGTTGCTAATTAGCGACCAACTTTGGTCCCTAAAATAAAGGGATCAGCAATATTGCGACCAGGCATGTTTGGTCGTTTTTTGGTCTCTTATAGGCCTATAAACGACCAACTTTGGTCGCTTTTTACCGGATTTCTAGTAGTGTAAGTCTCAAATCAAGGAACAATTTTTCACTATTGGATCACTTCATATTCACGATAGCTACCACTTAATTCTAAATTGAGCCTACTGTGAGAACGTATAAGAATACCAAATCATAGCACGCGTATATTCCCGTAATATCCAAATCAAAATCTGCTAACTAATTCGTTCCCATTCCAAATAAAACACCGAATTCAAACTAGGCACAACAAATCAAACTAGGCATAAACCATCATATGGCAGCCATAGTTATCAAAGAAACAAAACACATAAAATTATTTTTTTAAAATTCAAGGTAAGAAATGGACCTTAAAAGCTAATTTGAACCTGAAAATATCTAGGACCAAAATCTTGGACGGACGACTGAACAGGGACCTCGGACATCGACCTTCGGCAACCTCGAACAGCAAATCCCACGATCAAAAACCCGTTTCACCTTCACTCCATCCGGAAACCAAAACCAAATGAAACAACCTTCATTTTTGTTTAATTCTTTTCGGTCCAGATTTTCTTATTGAACTAACTTCCAAAAAAACTTGAATTTTAGATAACTCATATTGTTGAAATGAGCGTTCATTAGCTTCAAAATAGGATAATTGTTGTGTTCATATGGATCTTGAGATGGAATCCTTTTATATAACAAAAACAACGTTCAGATAAGTGATCTTGGAATGGCCGAAATCTGGATACTTTATGGTGAATATTTTTCTGATTCTTGCTCTCGGAGGTGTGGCTGTGTGTGTATGACTCTTGGGGGTGGGACTGGTGAAGACGTTGGAAAACAGGGGTGGGTTTCACTGCTCAGGTATGTCGCTGGTTTTGTTTCCTAGGGCCTAGGGTTCAAGAAAGGGGTGTGGTGGACGACCAAACTCGCCGGTTGTCAAGTCCGACATCTTGCCGGCGAGAAAGGGAGTAAGGCAGACACGATAGAAAGTCGTCCAAGGGCAGCGGCTGCTGTAGTCTATAGGTGTGTATAGGCGTTATCCCCCTCAATTTAGGAGTTAAGTGTTATTTTATAGGGGGTGGGGATTAGGTTAGGTCAAATGGGAAATGGCTATGGACTCAATATTTTGGGCTATCTGAAATTGGGTCATTTCAATTAAGACCAAACAAAATTAGCCCCAAATTTCATACTCTTTTTCTAAAACAAGACAAAAATACTACAACATTTACTAATCAATTCTACTTGAGATAAATTAAAATTAACTAGATAAAATGTTAATTAGCTAAATAAAAGAAAATATTTTTGTAATTTTTATTTTGTGATAAAATAAAGTAAAAGAGCCAAAACTAATTGAAATATCGATATTAGGCCTAAACTAAATATTTTACGCTAAAATGGATGAAATCTCGGGGAGGGTCAAAAATCACATGTCTACAACAGGAACACAAAGAAAGGAAGAATTCCACCATGACGATCCAGGCAATACAACAAACAGGATAAGAATGATGGAAAATGCTATGAATGTGGAAGATTTGGGCATATTCAAGCTGAGTGCCCAACTGAAGAGGAAGATCTCTAGAGGCTTCAACAAGAACAAATCCTTCAGAAGCTGGAGCGATGAGGATAATTCAGACCACGAAGAGATAGCAAATCTCTGCTTCATGACAATTCTGGAAAATGAATTGAACAAATCCTCAGGATGCTGGACAGACGAGGACATTTCAGATGACGAAAATGAAAACTGTTTCATGGCACGAGGTGAAACTAGCGAGGCAAGATCCTATAACTGTGAAAAATGTAATGAATTGCAGGATATTCTTGATTTAACTTTGAAAGAGTCTCAAAAAATGATGAATGATCTTAAGAGACTCACTAAGGAAGTTAAAGACTGGAAATTCAAACATGAAGTATGTGAAATAGAAAAGGAAGTACCTCAAGAAGAGTTTGAGTAATTGCAAATGCAACTCAATGGCATGCGCAAATCCACCAGTCATTGTTCTATTAGGTCAAACCAGACGACTTTCAAGTCAACTGGAAAAGGACCAGCCAGAACCAAGTCAACTAGTACTAACACTAATGAAATACCTAAAAGTGGGTCAGAAGTTATGTGTCATTACTGTAATAAAAATGGGCATAAATATTCCTTTTGTCGTTTTCGTAAAACAAACATTTCAGGATAGGTTTGGAAACCAAAAAATTCTGAACCGAGTAACACTAACCCTCCAGGACCCAGGCAAGCTTGGGTACCTAAAAGAAAGTAATCATCTTGTTTTGTAGGAACACCACAGAATAAGCCTCAAAGGAAAATGGTATCTAGACAGTGCGTGTTCTAGTCATATGACAGGTGACAAAAACCTATTCAAAGAAGTTACAAAAATTGATGGAGGAAGTGTTAAGTTTGGGGATGATTCAAAAGGCAAAATCATTGGTACTGGAACAATTCTCTTCAATAACAATTGTGACATCACTGAAGTTTATCTTGTCGATGGCCTCAACTACAATCTCTTGAGCATAAGTCAACTCTGCGACTCAGGATATGAGGTAAATTTTATGAAAACAAGATGTACTATTGAAGATGAATTGGGTAAAATAGTCCTTCCTGGAAAAAGGTGTGAAAATATTTATATCCTTGATAGTTTTGAAAAGATAGATGGTCATATGTGCTTATCCTCTATGTCTGATGATCCATGGTTATGGCATAGGAAACTTGGTCATGCTAGCATGCATAGAAAAATTTTCCAAACATGAATTAGTTGTTGGTCTACCCAAGCTGAATTTTTCTAGAACTCATATTTGTGATGCATGTCAAATGGATAAGCAGACCAGAAACTCTTTCAAAAACAAAGATGTAGTATCTACTTCAAAGCCCTTGCAATTACTTCATATGGATTTATTTGGGCCTACTAGAATTTCTAGTATAGGAGGAAAGAGGTATGCTTTTGTTATTGTTGTTGATTATTCACGTTTCACTTGGGTAATTTTCTTATCTCATAAGGAAGAAGCATTAAGAAATTTTGAAGTTTTCTGCAAAAAGGTTCAAAGAGAAAAGGATATCTTATTTCAACAATTTAGAGTGACCATGAAGGAGAATTTGAAAACAGAGCATTTGAAGACATTTGTAATGATCAGGGATATACCCATAATTTCTCTGCACCATGCTCACCACAACAAAATGGAGTTGTGGAAAGAAAGAACAGAACCTCCAAGATATGGCAAGAACCATGTTACTAGAACACTCACTACCAAACCACTTCCGGGCAGAAGGTGTAAGTACAACATGTCACATCCATAACCGTTGCCTCATAAGGTCTATTTTGAAGAAGACTCCATATGAACTATGGAAAGGTAAATGTCCAAATATTAGTTACCTCCATCCCTTCAGAAGTAAATGTTTTATCCACAATAACGGTAAGGATAATTTTGGAAAGTTCGATCCAAGAAGTGACGAAGGTATTTTCTGGGATACTCATTAAATAGTAGATCTTGTAGAGTCTATAATAAACGCACATTATGTGTGGAAGAATTTGTACATGTTATATTCAATGAAACTAATCCCTTGGTCGAGAAAGAAATTACTGCAGGTGATGAAGATAAAGCTCAAGAAACTCAGGAGACAAGCAAATCGCAAGAGTCGACTGATACACCTGCTGTGACAGAGTCAATTGGTGAAGACAACATCAATGTGCCAGATTAACCAATCGAGTCAACTACAAATGTAGTTCGTCCAAATGAATGGAGAAGCAATCTTGAATATCCTCAGAAATTCATCATACGGGATCCAAATGAAGGAATGAAAACCAGGGGAGCTCTCAAAAAGAAAGAAAACATTGCATTGATTTCTCAGATTGAGCCAAAAAAGATAGAGGAAGCACTAAAAGATTCAAGCTAGGTACGAGCTATGCAGGAAGAGTTAGATCGGTTCAGTAAGAATCAAGTGTGGAATTTGATACCCAAACCTGATAATGTGTCTATAATCGGAACAAAGTGGGTTTTTAGAAATAAATTGAACGAGGATGGAAAGGTCGTAAGAAATAAAGCTAGACTAGTTGCTTAGGGCTACTCACAACAGGTAGGAGTTGACTATGATGAAACTTTCGCCCCAGTAGCTCGTTTGAAGTCCATACGAATTCTTCTGGCATATGCATCATTTAAAGGATTCAGGCTGTTTCAAATAGATGTTAAAAGTGCCTTCTTGAATGGATTTATCGAAGAAGAAGTATATATGAAACAACCTCCAGGTTTTGTAGATTCAAAATTTCCATACCATGTATACAAGCTCACTAAGGCGTTGTATGGGCTAAAACAAGTTCCACGTGCTTAGTATGATAGACTGAGTTCTTTTCTTTTTGATCATGGCTTTACAACAGGTAGAATAGATGCTACCTTATTCATTAAACGATCATCGGAAGGTAACCTTATTATTCAAATTTATGTCGATGATATTATATTTGGTAGTGTTAACCCTCTCATGTGTAAGGAGTTTTCAAATCTTATGCGAAGCGAATTCGAAATGAGTATGATGGGTGAACTCATGTTCTTCCTTGGACTACAAATTCAACAATCTGAAGAAGGAACTTTCATATGTCAGACCAAATATACAAAAGAGCTGATTCAAAATTTTGGTATGAGCAATGCAAAATCAATTGGCACACCAATGAGCCCTTCCACAAATCTAGACAAAGATGAACATGGTATTCCTGTTGATGAAACTAAATATCGTGGAATGATTGGATCACTGCTGTATCTGATAGCAAGTTGACCAGATAATATGTTCAGCATATGTAAATGTGCCAGGTTTCAGTCAGCTCCCAAGGAATCACATTTTACTGCCATAAAAAGAATCATTCGATTTCTCATTGGGACTGTATCTCATGGATTATGTTACCCTCGCTCTAACTCTTTTAAATTAGAAGGTCTTTTCGATGCTGACCTTGCAGGTGATAAGGATGATAGAAAAAGCACAAATGGTACATGTCAATTACTAGGAAAGGCATTGATATCCTGGAATAGTAAAAAACAAGCATCAGTCGCATTGCCTACTACTGAAGCTAAATACATTGCTATTGGACAATGTTGCGCACAACTACTGTGGATGTCTCATCAACTAGGTGAGTATGAACTTTCGTTTAAAGCCTATACAATTTTTTTGTGACAACTCTAGTGCTATTTGTCTTTCCAAAAATCCTGTGCACCATTCTAGAGCAAAGCATATAGATATTAAGCATCATTTTATTAGAGATCATGTTCTTAAGGGAGACAGAGAAATATTGTTTGTTGGAACCACTGATCAACTAGCTGATATTTTTACTAAACCGTTATTAGAAGAGAGATTTTGTGATTTAAGAAATTTACTTGGTATTATTTGCATTACTAATAACCCTTAGGACCTATGTGCACTGTTAATTTTTTGCAATAATTGTCCTTTACCCATGCATTAATTACGCCTATGTTTTCCCTCTCTTTTCTTTTCTTTCACATCAGTTCGTCGTTAAGTTGGAAAGTCAATCATCACGTCTCTTCAACTGACAACTTTTCCTTTTCTGTACTCAACCGTCAGAAACCCTCTTTTTAAGGCAGAGAACCCTTTTCAACCACTCTCATCTCTATCTCCTCTCCAAAAGTTCCGATCAAACCCCTTCTCTACAATGGCCAAACGTCCTAGAAATCCCTCTGCCTCCACCAGAAAAAGCAGCCGTTCCAAAGCAAAACCCCCTCCAATGACCCCAGAACAAGTAGACCTAGGGTCCGATCACTCTGAGGGTTTCGCCTCTTCTCAGGAAGATTTCTCTGAACACTCACAACTCTTAGGAGAAAAAGCTTTAGGTAAGCGACCCATGGAAGAACCCCCTATTTCGTCTACCCCAAAGAAATCCAAGGTTGATTTCTCTGCCTCTCTTGAATCTGACCTCAATTTCTGGGATTCCCCAAATAAGGATTTCTTCATTGCTCTGAAAGACAAACCCATTGCTCATGGAAGGGTTGTCGACCTTGACGACATGGAAGCCCTAATTTCAAGGTTAAAGATCTTTTCGTTCATCAAGATTGGGTTAAGTTCTTCTCTATTCCTCCGCCTAAGGTATATGAACCCCTGGTAAAAATGTTTTAAGCTAACCTTCGTTCTAGTAAACCTGATAGGTTGGAATCTCTTGTGTTAGGTAAGCGCATTGTTCTTAACTGTGCCCTGTTTGATTCGCTCTTTCAGTGTCGTTGTTCTGGTTTTCCTATGCTGTTTAAAAATAGTTGGCCTGATGACTTTGAAATTTCCTTTGACCAAGCCAAACAGTGTATTGCTGAGTGTCCTTTTGACTCCCTTCCAAACCAGTTCGATCCTAGTGATGTTAGTTTTGAAACTCGGGTTCTGGCCAACATTGTAGCAACTACTTTGCTTCCTCGTACTGGTTCCTTTTCAACCTTCTCTCAAAGAGACAACTTGTTCGTCTATTGCCTAGTGACCAAACTCAAAATCAAGCTTTCCTCATATGTCATCAATTTCATGATCGAAAGTGCTGAAGACCCCACCAGTCTACCCTATGGCATGACAATCGCTCACAATCTGGAAGCTCATCAAATTTCCCTGTCCAACTATCCCTTCATAATTGTTTCTAAGTCCTACAATTCTAGAACCTTTGCTAGTATGGGATATGTGAGTGTAAAAGGCTCCTGGGTTAAGAAGTACGATAGTGAAGTAAAATATGCCCCTGCAGAGCCCAAACCTTCACCCTCTGTCCCTCATCCCAATCTTGACAGTCCTGATCTTGGTGAAAAGTTTCGTGCTATTGACTCTCAACTCTCTGAAATCAAAAATCTTCTCACAGCCAGTCAGTCTACTGTTGGTGACATTCATGCTATTTCCAAGGAAACAGGGTCTGATGTGTCTAAAATTAGAGTTGTTGTTCTCAGAGTTAGGGAGAATGCTGTCAAAACCTTCAGGGAAATTCATGACAGATTGGATGGAGTGAGCATCTTAGCCAATGCAAGCTTTGAACAGTTGAAGGAGGCCATCTTCAACACCCTTACTTATTTTCTGCGTCGTTAGTGTGAATGTTTTGAGACAATTTCTTTTGCTCTGCTGGTTTTGGGCTGTGTTTTCAGCATTTGGATAATTTTTATTTTTTGCTATGTTGTTTTTGTGGGATGTTTTCCCAGCCGTTGGATGATCACTATAACTTTTCTGCTTTTGTGCTATCTATTCTATTTAGTTTTTATCTTGTTCCCTCTTTGTTGATGCCAAAAAGGGGGAGAAAGAGTAGATGTTATATTTGTACAGGTACAACTTGCGGTAGAAGTCGACTCAGTCATAGACTAGCCAACTGCATACATTGAGGGGGAGTATCATGGACTAGTCAACTGCATACATTGAGGGGGAGTAAAACACAGGAAAGTCAACTAGTGTTTACTGTTATATATTATTTTGTCATCATCAAAAAAGGGGAGATTGTTAGATCCAGTTTTAATGATGCAAATAATATACATATGCAGGACATCAATTACAAGGAGTCAAGAAGATACTACAAGACTACTGGAGTCAATCCTGATGACTAAGGAAAGAAATCAATCAGCAAATCTGGACGACTAAGGAAAGGACTCGCAAATCTGAATAACTAAGGAAAGAATCCAATCAGCAAAGAGTAACATCCAGCTGCGATGGAGAGAATCAAGCAAGCCTTAACCTAAGGCACGAATCAAGGATAACATCCCGAAAGATCGAAGATTCAGTAAAGATTGGTACGCGACTAATTTCGGAAGAACCAACAATCAAAGAGCAAGTCTTCATTGCATACATCTGTTGAAGGAAGGAAATCAAGGGAAAGCAACTGCTAGCTATCTTATTCTTGGAAAGAATCAATCTCTTTGCAACGATCAAATCTCTTGGGTTGTCAAGCCTCGACCGTCATCAAAGTACTTATACCCAGCCTTAAACCCTAGTCAGACATACTTTGATCGAACCAAAAACCACTCTCTTTATTCTACTGCAAACAAATATTGTAGTTCACTAAGATCTGTTGTATAACAAGTCAGAGAAAAAAAGGAGAGTATAACACTGGTGAGGCATTGTATCAAAAAGAAACGAGTGCTAGAGAAACTGTGTTGTCAATTCACTTCAACTGTAATCAGAGAAACACATTTACTAAAAGAGAACTCCCTTGCAACCCAAGGGGATTGGACTAGGATTCACATTGAATCCGAACCAGTATAAAATCCTGATGTCTTTAATTCCTGCATTTACCTTCTGCAATTTACTTTCTATCATTATAACTGTTAAGTTATTATATCTAGTCAACTACTCGATTAATTAGTCAACTAATAAGTAATTAAGTTTAAATATTTACAATTCACCCCCCGTACTTTCAGAGTAATCTCTTCCTCCCTCAATCAATTTCAACAATAAACTACCCAAAATAGTTTAACAACACCACATACTGCTTCTTAATGTCACATGCATGACCTAGCTAGATCTAACCCCACAACGTACATAAATCCATAACTTCTTGCATAAAACTTAGGAGAGTGACTTACCCGTATAGATGATGGTTTAGGGAGTCACTACAAGAAAAAAGGGTTTTAGTGGCGACTTTACTAATCGCCACAAAAGTTAGGGATTTAGTGGCGACTCGAACAAATCGCAATAAAAAGGTAAAGTTATTTGTGGCGACTATAAAAAGGTCGCCACGTAAAAATACTATAGTGGCAACTTTACCTAGTCGCAACAATTATTTTTAGCTACAGGACAAAATTTTACTTTCCCGCTAAAGGAGAAAATTTGGCTCCAAAAAGTTTAGCTCGTTGACTTTTGTGGCAATTTGATCGCCACTATTTTTTTCGTTTAAAGTTTTAAGGATAAATTAAAATACAACTATTTTTTTCATTTAAAGTTTTAAGGATAAATTAAAATATAAAAACTTCAGAAATATATAAAGTTATTTATTCTACTTTTTAAAGATAAAACAATCTGGTCTCAATTCTCAAAAATTTCTCACGCTCAAAAAAGGAATAGAACTCAAAAGTAGCCCTAACTCAAAAGGGCAGAAATCTCACGCTCAAGAGATCAATTTCTAATCTCAAAATCCAACTGGAAATTCTCTCTTCAAAATAGCCCTAAGCCAGAGCACAAAATCGACGAATCCAAGTGACGATTTTCACCCAAATGGCAATTTTCACCATGCTGCGCTGAAGAACATCAGTAAGCTATTTCTTCTCAATCAGTTTAGGAATTATTTGTTGCTTGAGTTCAACATTATTGTTGAAGAAAAGATACTCATATATATCAGCTAACCTCTGTTTTTCTCTGGATTTGTCCAATGTACAATCTGTAATATCAGATACTTTCTCCTTATTTTTTCATTAAATTTCGTTAAGATTGCTTTGTGTGTAGTCTTTCTAATAGAAGAATATTTTTGGGATAGAATAAAGTGGGGTTTGTGGGTTGATGATTGCACATTGAAGAAACACCAGTCAGAGATTATTCTTAGGTGGTTTCGGATTAACCAAGGATATCATCAACGGACGTGTTGTAGGAAATGAAACGTCCCAAAATTGAAAGCATGCATGTGTCTTTTCATATTCAATTTTTGTTGAATGTCTTCCCCTTTAATTGAAATTTAAAGCCTAGCACAACTGTTTTCTTAATGAGAAAGAAGAGGAGATGACGTGACTTTTGATTTTTAACAAAGTGACTTATGAATTCTTAAAAATAGCAAATAAATAGGGGAAAAAGGACTAAATCCAATAAATTGACAAAAAAGATTATTAAGTTTCTCGGCCATATAGATATGCCACATCACCTTGCCAAGTCCCAGCTTTATATATTTATATAGATTATAACTAGGTATCGTCAATATATCAAATGATTAGTGTCTTGTAGACATGATATGTAAAGACCAAGAACTGTGAGTTATCAACCAATGAGATCGATTATAAACCAATATATAAGTTAATATCAGTAAACTAGCAATATAACTAAGTTAAGCATACACAACATATACAGATAACACAATGCTACGCTTGATCAAATCATCATAGTAGAAAATTATTATAGAACTAGATCATCATATATACCAATCATGACAAACACCAACAGATTGAAGGAAAGTAAATCAGTTAGAGTTTCTGTCAAGATTGGCTGGTGGTCTTCTTGAGGTCATTCTACTTGCAGATTGAGCATTTATTTGTTCTCATATTCTTGGACCTAAATATTCCTCTAATTACCGTTATACGCGTAAATACCAGTACTTTCTGTTTAAGTTTTCTGAGATACTTTTGGCGGTATCTGATTGTCATTGAATGGAGATGGTAACAATAGAAGAAGAGTTGCTTAGTTGAGATTGTACACTAATAATCCACATGTATTGTTAGCTTGTTGTTTCCATCTATTTGCTTTGTACATGGTCTACTTATCAAAGCTTGACATCGTTATTAATATTATCACGGCATTCAAACCTTCGATTGATGCTCCTTCTATTTCAGAAACTCAAGTCATTCTTGCTGGTCAAACATCTTGCCTTAAGGCACATATACCAACTATCTAAATCATCAAGAAGAAAGCTCAATTATGTCTGAAAAAAGAATCGAATAAAAGATGGATGGATGGCTGATCAGAATGCAACAGGTAAGGATTTCTCTTGAAATCAGTTTAGTGTATATGACATGGTTCTCCTTTTCTATTAATTTAACTTGATGAATTCTCAATTTCCAATATTAAACTAATGCCTTGTAAAATACAAAATATTTTTCACATCTTATTTGTCCATACATTTTTACTCTTCACAAAGGAACAGGAAAAAGAATGTTGAGCAGAGCCATTTTCACCTTAAAACTTAGTTAATCCTTCTCTAGAAAACCAACCTTCACTAAATGCTTGTTCAATCATTTTGCAATCCATAATATGTATACCTACAAGTTCTGTCTATATTAGAAAAGTCTATCATCATTTCTACATGGAAGACATAGGATTCTGTAAAATGATCTAACTAAAAAAGAATGCCACTGCCACAAATGCAATATGGAGTAAACGATTGGTTCTGGGCTTTTAGAATTCTAAAGGACAGCCCGCTGCGCTTGGCCTCTCTCTGGAAGCCGGTCTTCTGCAGTACTAGGCATAAATCTTTGTCTTTCATCTGTTATGGCCATGTAGTGAAACCTGGTAATGCCATAAAGATACTAAAGAGTTACTTCTTCTGGTTTCTGTTTGTAGTGGTCATCTTCTAAGAGTTGGTCATTATATATCCTTAAGGACACAACATTCTTCTTTACGAAGGCAGCTTTTAAAAGAACGTTGGAACAAATGCATTTTGGACTACATCCTAGCATTTTCTTTCCTTTCCTCCATCTATTAAGTTAATTCCTTTCCAATGATAGAATATCGAATAAAAAGAGTTGAAAATGAATTAAGTTCGTTCACTTTAACATGCTGCTTCATTTTAAGAAAATAGCTACGACGATTCTTACTTTTCTTTATTGAGCATGAAAGCGATTCTGGTTGTGTTAAGATTGAAAGCAGGCATGTCTTTTGTGTGCTCAAAGATGGCATACGAGTAAAATCCTGGGACATCACGAAATACTATAAACCTGTAAATAAGTACGAATCCAAGTTGTTTATCATCATTTATGAGAAAATGTAATGAGATGGTCCAGGATGTAAGCAACCAGTAGGCATTTCCAGTCACCCATTTGTTAGGTGGCTGACTGCATAGAGTTCAATTCTGTTATTTTAATGACTGGTGATTGATTATACATTATAGATAGTTTCAGTAGGTTCTTAGTTGAACATTACGTTGCCGTGTTGCTTTAAATAATTTGGACATAGATTATGTAATACGACTCTGTGCATTCATTTCAATTCATGTACTATATTCAGATTTATAATTATTTGTGTTGGTTTTGATAACTGAATTTCGCAAAGTATCAATGACATCTCACACTGATTGACATATTTTATAATAATTTAAACTAAGCATCCTTGCCATATATATATTGTGACCGCAAGGTTGATGTTCCCATGCTTTAAAAAGTTATTGCTTGTGGGGTTTTAAAAGTTTCCCAGAAGTACCTTTCTTTGCTTTACTTCTTATCGCTTTTTTCGGCTAATTTTCTCTTTAAACTTACTGTCTTCTTTGTACATATGCATATATTAATGATGTTCATCTTTATTTTTTAATAGCAAGGACAAGATTCTTTAAGAACGAGGAAGTGAAGTTGCTCAAGGAGTAGTTTGAAGATATTTTTATGATCTTTTTGTTTATCGTAGAAGACATTGGAGTATGTCTTGAAGACTGTTTCTTTTTTGTTTGTGTCGTGAAATGGCAATGTATATACATTGACTACTCTTGGCTGTGTAGACTTTTTAACATTAAAAAGTCTATAATTCTATTTTGAGAATTATTATCGGATTGTACAAATATTTGTAGTTTTATATATTTTTTTAAAACAAGAAATCCTTTTATGGAAAACTTGTGTTGTGACGAAAATAAGAGCTTATATGATTATAGTCTATTGCCACTAAAAGAAAATATAATTAGTAGCGATATATTGATGCCACAATAAATGGAGATTTTGGCAATACCAAGTTGTCACTAAAATGTAATTTTTAGCAGCGACAAAAGTAGCCACCAAAGTCAGGCTTTTGTTGCACCTACGCTCGCCGCCAATGATCTGTGGCGATATGAGTAGCCACCAAAGGCTAGCATTTAGTGGCGACGGATTCTCTAGAATGAATTCTAATGGCAATCCAAAATAAGTTTTGTGACGACAAATGTCGCCACGAAAGGTGGACCTTTTGTGGCGACCATTATAAGTCGCTACCAATAAGTATCTGCCACTTAGTATAGTCAACGACCACTTGGTCACCACATAGACGCCACGAAAGCTATTCTGCGCGACAATTAAACTTTTTGTGGCAAATTTTGTCGCCACTAAAAGCCTTTTTCTTGTAGTGAGTGACTTCCATGATCCTAAAAGATTTGGGCAAGATTGAATGAATAAAATTGCTAGGTCTTTTCCTTCTCTCTCTAGGATACTCTCACTTCTTTTTAAAAATATCAGATTTTATCTTGTAAAATGACCCCCTAAGGTCTTATATCAAAATAGGTTCAGATAAGAAAATCTTCAAAAATGACCTCCGAAATCAATTATATGGTAGCAGATCGATATGTGGGCAGCAGAATGGATATGTGGGCAGCAGAATCCATTATGTGGCCAACAGATAGATTTGTGGCCAACAGAATATTTATGTGGCCAATAAAATGATTATGCGACCAGTAGAATAGTTTTCAAATTTTGCCCATTTTTCTGTTCCACTCTGTGACGGATCTGCGGTCCGCGGAGTGATTTTGCAGTCGCATAATTGACCGCAGAAATGTCATTTTCTGCAACAATTTACCTCTATCTCCCTAATACATTTGTACACCCCAAAAAGTCCGTACCGTGGCTCATTTTCTACAATCCTCAAACCCGTTAGCCTACCTCGGCACAACGAAACCTTAATTTCTTGGCAAAGTTTTACGGGGCCTTACAATACGATGGTAACTGAAAATGTTGCACGAGGTATCGTGAGCGTATGATTCGTTATTTGGGACTCGTGACTTGTGATTATATGATGAGGTATCACAGAGTAATTTCATTGTGAGAGTTGTGTTAGAACGACTTGGTTAATTGGTTGTCATTTGTTTTCCATATTTGGTTTCACTGGTACTTTAACAATGTTCTTATTACTTCACTGTTTATATCACATGTTGATTTTTGTTGTAATTTATTGATTACTGCTTTCATTATTAGCTTTATACTTCTATACTGCATAGGTTATTTGACTAGCAGGTGACTTGACTTGTACCTCGTCACTATTCCTTAGAGGTTAGCTAATACTTACTAGGTACCGATCGTGGTGTACTCATACTACACTTCTACATATTTTTTGCAGATCCAGGTACTGGAATTATCGGACCCAGGCAGAGTTAGCTTATTGATCACGAGGATTCAAGGTAGAGCTACTTAGTCATCGCAATTCCTTGGAGTCCTTTCCCCTTTTACTGTACTGTCAGCTTTTTATGCGAACAATATTGTATTTATTTTTGGGATCTTTCTATATATTCAGCTAGAGTTCGTGACTCTATATTACCTTGTCTTGGGAGGTTGTCATGATTATTGCCGTGTAGGCTTGTTTCACCTTTATTTCGATTTTTATTTTAAACTCTATTTCAAAATATCATTGTTAAACACGCTTAATTGATGTAAGTAATTGGCTCACCTAGTCTTAAAGACTAGGTACCATCACGACGCCTGAGGCGAAATTTCGGGTCGTGACATTAGTTAGCTTCCGAACTGCGTTTTCAAGTGTGTACTCTTATATCCTTCAATTCTCGAGTGTTCTAATACCAGTAAAAACTTTCAGCATATTTTCATATTTAAGTTCCATTATCCAACAATGTTGGAACTTGGAAATAACAAATGAATGGTGTTCAAAAGATACGAGTCATGGATTGCCAAATAACCTTCATATAATCATAAACCGAGTTTAACTTTTTCTAAAATTACCACAACTTCAAGTAACTAAATGTACAAGAAATTACCCGTTAAAGTACAAATGAGGTTCTTAATAAGCGACATTAACCAACTTCACCAGCTTCTCAAGTTGTCGCAAAACATCACCGAAAAATGAAAAATATCTTTGTCGTTGCCGAAAATCTGTAGCTCATACCGGTAAAGAATAAAGCCAAATGAGTTATTAAGAAAAGTATTTTTCAAGTTAATTATGTCAATCAAACATGAAAAAATTTAAAAACATTTTCTTACCAATCACACCCTAAATTTAAGTGTCTTCCTAGACCATTCTAAAGCAGAACATATTTGGGGCTATTACTAGTGTAAATTCATTTTATAAGAAATTCTTGTGAAATATCCGTAATTTGGAACTTCTTTTACAAAGATGGTTACTAAAATGGCTTGTTTTGATGGTTATTACCTATTATATTGTATTGTATTGTTATTTTAAATACAATATTTTTTTTGACTGTTACTTAAATTTTGTTGCATTGTATCGTTAAATTTGTTCATATACTGACGATGTCACTTTATATAACGACCTATTTACTGCGGTCGTGTCATTACCTTATCTTTTTTTTCCTCTCATCTTTACCTTTCTTATTATTAAATAATTTTATTTTATCATATATCCTACCTTTCTATATAATAATTTTACCATATATTTTTTTTTCTTCTAATATTGCAAGTTTATTCTTCATGTTGGTGGTACATGACAATATGAAATGACGTCCATACAATATATCCAAATATTATATTTATCAAAATAATACAGTACAATAAAATACAATACAATAACCGTCCAAACGGTTTCTCAATTGACATTCTAACTATGCAAGTGATCTTTTTTTTTTTTAGGAATTAATATCAAGTTAACATCATGAGAATTGACGAGGGTGTTCATGGACCACGTACGTACTCAACATGGCTAACTATGTTTATAATTGTAAACCTATATTACTTGCTATTACTAGTTAAGCGTGATATGTAGGACAACAAACTGAATATGCTCGAAGTAATATCTCCTGCATGATTGGATCTTTAAGCATTATGAATACCATATATTAGTCGCTAATTCACAGAGATGTTTCTTTAGTTTAAGCTCTAATGATCTCTTTAGAACGTGATAGGACCACATACTGAATATGCTCCGAGTGACACATCCAGTATAATTGGAGTTCTATAAGCATTGTAATTAGTAACTAGCCAGAGATATCCTTCTTTACTTAAGTAGTAATAATCCATCTTAATTCAGTCAAATAAGGATTCTAAGTTCTAACAAAATGAGCTGTTCATTGGAGTAGGATACGGATTTAGTAAAGTAAGAAATATAATATCGAGGGACTACGTGTCGTGTAGCAATTTACCATATATGGCTATCTAATCTCATATTTTAATGAGAGTTAATATTTTAATGGTTGCGATGATTATTCTTTTGTCTTGTACCTACGCCATGGAACGTGAACATAGAGAGGAGAGTCGGGATCCTTAAGAGTAGACTCCTTTGACATTTACATCTGTCAATTGGATATTTTGACTTTCGCAGTAGGATTGACCATACGACACCAGTTCTGTCCAACTCGAAAACTCCTACTCCCATGCATTTTATGTGAACTGACGGAGTTTTAAGAAAGAGTGAAAAAAGTAAAGTAATTTAAAACAGTAAAAAGAAGTTCGTTTTTTCATAAAAAGTTGAAGCAAATAAAGTTAATCTTAGTTGGCAAACTTGTCCATTTATTTAGTTAAATAATAGTTTCGTTACACCAAATATGAAAGAAGGGAGGTGAGTGTAATATTATAAACCACAAGAGATCTTAGTATGATAGCAACAAAACTTGGAAGGAGGTCTCTAAAATTATCTGAAAAATAAATATTTTCGAATATATAAAAGGATCATTCTCTTCAACAAACTTTAAAAATAAAATAGTATCACAGAAACTGAAATGGAGGGAGAATTTTGAATCTGCCACTACATAACGAGGCAACTTCACGTGCTTGGGCGGCTTCTTCGAGAGCTCCTAGTTTGAAAATTGTAATCCATGTTTGAGATTTTTGACAAAGTTATGCTAGAATGGATGAAAAAGAGAGGAAGGAAGAAAAGTGAGACTGTGGAAGATGGAAAAGACGAGTTATGAGTCGGATTCTGCATGGGAGCAGGGCCTGCTCAACATTCTTTATGGCCTAATGCCAATATTGATGAGAGGCCTTCGATTTTATTTTAAGAGAGTTTCATATCTAAACTTGAAGTTCAATTTCCTAACGTTTTGAGATACAAAATTATTACTCCTTCCGTTCCAATTTATGTGAACCTGTTTGACTGAGCACGGAGTTTAAGAAAAACATGAAGACTTTTGAAATTTGTGGTCCTAAACAAGTCCAAATGGGGCCTAGAATATTTGTGTGGTTATAAAAGCTTCTCATTAAGGGTAGAGTTGTAACTTTAAGCTAAATTGTTACCAAATTTAGAAATGGTTCATTCTTTTTGGAACGGACCAAAAAGGAAATAGGTTCACATAAACTGGAACAGAGAGAGTAATATTTTTTTATATTGATTTCTCTTATTAATTCATTATAGTAGTGTATTAACATTTTCATTCTTTTTTTTTCCTGAGTTTTGAAAAATCGATATATTTTCTTATTGATATATTTAAATTCTAACGAGATAATACATAAGATGCTCCCTGAACTTGTCTCCAAAACTTAGTTTCCCATTCAACCTTTACGGATGTTCCTTTTCTATCCTATACTTGTCCGAAATGAATTTAATACTACCATAAAAGTTGATGCGGCAAAAAATTTTAAAAATAAAGTGGAGGCGCACATTATCAAAANCCCCGAAAACCCCTCTTTCTTCTGCTTCTCA